GTTATGGATGGCCTAATTAAGGAAGGGATGGTCGAGAAATCAGATAGTCCCTCGTCAGCTCTCGTCGTGTTAGTCCAGAAGAAGGATGAAACCCAACGTTGCTGTGTGGACTTCAGGGCTCTTAACAGTATAACCGAAAAAAGACTCATAGTCACTGCCAAGAATTGATGATACTCTTGATGCCCTAAGTGGAGCCAGGTGGTTTTCAACTCTGGACTTAAAGTCAGGTTTCAATCAAGTGGAAATGGTTGAAGCAGATAAACCTAAGACTGCATTTAGTTATGGCCAAGGTCTCTGGCAATATCATGTGATGCCATTCTGGCTTAACAATGCTCCAGCAACATTTGAGAGGCTGATGGAAAGAGTACTGGAAGGCCTAGAATGGAGGATAGACCTAGTGTACCTGGATGATGTCATTGTGTTTGCAACAACGTTTGATGAGGAAATGTCCCGGCTAGAGGAAGTATTTAAGCGTTTGAAACCAGCAAACCTCAAACTACATCCCAAGAAATGCCACTTGTTCCAGAAAGAGGTGCTTTACTTGGGTCACATTGTAAGTGAGCATGGTGTGCGAACTGGTCCTGACAAGGTGGAAGCAGTGCATGATTGGCCAACACCAGACAATGTGGGAGAGCTAACAAGTTTCTTGGGACTCTGTACCTACTACTGGAAGTTTGTGAAGGACTTTGCAACTGTAGCTGCTCCACTACATGATTTGACGAAAAAAAGCCAGAAGTTTGAGTTGACAGTTTCTTGCCAGCATGTTTTTAAGACAGTGAAAGAAAAAATGGCCTCAGCTCCACATTTAAAGCATCCAAATCCCTCACTGTCATACATATTGGATTGTGATGCTAGTAATGTCGGAATTGGAGGAGTGTTGTCTCAGAAAGTGGGCGAAAACGAACATATGGTTGCCTACTTCAGTAGGTTCCTGGGTAGACCAGAGAGGAACTACTGTGTAACACAGAGGGAACTCCTTGCGAAAGTAAAAAGTCTGACATATTTCCATCCTTACCTCTATGGTGTCAGGTTTACCATCAGGACAGACCATGCTGCGTTAAGCTGGTTTTGATCATTAAAGAACCCAGAGGGACAACTGGCACGTTGGATCGGAAAGATAG